GATTAACATTTATGGTATAACATTAACAAATAGTGAACTGCTTAGCAGAATAAGTATACAGCTAACAAGAAGAATATACAAAGAGTGTATAAATAGCATTCTAAGAACAGATTAGCAAATATAATGTAACATTAAAAAATAGTGAACTGATTAACAGATTGAACGTATCTTTCACAAAAATAACATACAAAGAACTTGTGATTAGTATTGAGAGAACAGATTAGCAAATATAATGTAACTTGAATAAATAGTAAACTGTTTAGCAGATTTAGTGTACAGTTAACAAAAATAGAATAATAAGCACTTTAAATTAGTACCCACAGAATGAAATAACAGTTTTAACATTTTTATAACAAACAGTGAACTAATTAATATATTTAACAAACTAAAAGTTTTGCACTAATGAAGAGAGAACAAATTATCTGATATGAGATTCAGTTACTGTATCTAACATATAGAGAGTGTTAGCTGAACTCATTTAATTATTTACCTCTCATCTAACAAAGCAAGAACAAAATAATCTCTTATAAATATTGAAAGAGCACCTATTACTGCTAATTACTGTTAAATTAACAAACTGGGTTTTTCCAGATGAACAGCATTGATGGCCAGTTGGATGTGTATGGGCTGGCTGAGACTGGGCTGGCTCGTCCTGTTCAGCAGAAGTGCATAGCTCTGTTAGGCTCGCCGGAGCGTCGAGGTCTTGAATGGGCTCATCCACAGCTGTGAGGCATGCACACATTGGCTCGCAGCCAGCTGGGGGAAATAGCAGCATGCTCAAGAACACCCTGTTTGGTGGAAGCGCATGGCTCTGCTAGGCTCGCCGCAGCGTTATGGTCTTTGGCGGACTCGTCCACGGCTGCAAAGCGTGCACGCAATGGCTTGTGGCCAGCTGAGAGATGCGCATGGACTGGCTGAGACTCAGCTGGCTTATGTCCAGTGAGTTCGCATCTGGCTGGCTGAGGCTGAGCTGTCACAGGAGCAACTTGCTTGTAGTTGGCGCGCCCGATAGCGAGAGCTGGCTAGCTAGTTCAGGCTGACTCGGATGTGACTTGCTTGCAGTGGGCACGCTTGATGGAGGGAGCTGGCTCGTGGGCAGTGGGGGCGGCAACTGCAACAGCGCATGCACCTGCATGCTATCTGGCACAAGCACACACTCTGAGATTGGCTGCGATGGAGAACGGAAGAACGCACACAAATGCTGCGCTGGTGTCAGCACAAAGAGGCTGTAGCTGCTCGGGAGTGGCCACAGGTGGCGGACTCGTCGGCGTGCACCTCATTGATGTTCATCAGTTTGTCAACTTCTTCATTCTCAGTGTCACTGTCTTTGCTCTCAGCATCCACGTCTCCACCCTCAGCATTTGTTTCCTCTCTTCCTCTCATTCATTCTTTCTCTCTCTCTGGATGATTCTCCCCGATAGAGTCGTGGTGGTTGGAACAAAGAGATGAGCTGATTCAGGCACTCATTGAATGTCAGTGAACATGTTCTCACGGCAGGATCTAGTGGTGTTCGAGACAATTATATTCATGTATAGGTGGATATTCTAATGCTACTCGTTATCATTTGTAAGATCCTCATCTTCTTCATACAAGCTAATGGAATCAATACCTAACTTTTGCATGACAAAGGTCCTGCCAATAAACTTGTTGTACCCAGGACAAGGTAGATGTGGGATCATGGCAACAATGGCAGATATTGACATCACATCCACAACTAGGATGTTGTTGTCACCGCCGGCCTTACATGACCAAACAGTCTCAAACAACTTCATGAGTAGCTCAAGATCTGGCTGCGCATATCGAGACAGAAGAGCATACGCCCGAGGAGGTTGGTTTGGCTTCACTTCCAGCTAGAAGAAGAATTGGACGTCTCCATACTCAGCCCTGCCATGATGTGTGAACTAGCAGAAATATGTTATAAGATAATTAGAACATTAGTAGCAGAAATAATGCGTACCTTTACATTTCGAGATGTTTGCAGTGCCTTCAGAGTCTTGAGAGACTCTTTCCACAGTGATCAAGCATTTTGGCCATTGGGCAGGTGTAATCGAGCCCATCACACAAGCTTTGATTAGGCCAGCCATGCATCAGATGCAGGAATGTCATGGGTCTGCACAAAGCGGCGCAAAGTAATAGCCTCTGCATTGGAAACCGCATGCTGCCTGTTCTCAGCTGCGCATAAGAGAACACAGCCATCACCAACAATGACTGCACCACGTGGTGTCTTAGGCTCAGGCACAAATGCAAGATACATTGCCTTGAGAGCATTGAATTGGCAGCGACATAGGGCAATCTGCTGCAGGTTGGCATATACATTAGAGTGTTGCTGAATATCCTGGCCTAAATTGCCAATAGTTTGCTCCATGGCAGCTTGGTTCAGATTCCCGTTGGGGCTGCGACGGAGTGTTTCTGAACTGAGGTGTACAGGACCGTATTTGCTAGAACATGCAAAATGCAACCGTGACGTCTTGCACTGACAATAGAGGGTTTCAAAGTCCTGTGACCAGCTTGTTAGGAAATTGTGAGCAATGACAATCTCAGCTTGGGTCAACCGGCACTGGTGCATGATGCATATTGCACGAACAAGCTTGCAGAGATGGCACCAGTACTTCTCCGAAAGCAACCCATAGAGTAATGCAGGGGCAAGACCATAAAGGTAGTGTTGGAACTCAATAGCCTTGTATCCACTATTGAGCTTCTCCACAATGTTACGAGGTGACCAATGAAAAGACCCAGGAAGGTAAGGTCGAGTGCTTGCGATCTCTTTACTATGTTGCTCCCAGAGGCTGGTATCGCGAAAGATGGCCCAATCCCATGTGTCTTTACTATCTTGATCATCACAGTCAAGAGTTTCTCAGAGAAGAGATAGATATAGGTCTGGGATGTTGAGTGAGGCAAGATGAAATAGGTCAGTCTGGAAGCAACCGGGCACTCCAAGCATACAACCTGTTGAGAAGCCGCTCACAATGCTAGGCTTTGAAATGCCTGTCTCAAGGCAAATGCGTTCATAGGCAGCCTGAGACCGTGAATCTGAAAGAAATCGCTGTAGGTTCTTGTTGTAGCGGTGTATCTTTTCAGTGTGCGTCTCGTGAAAAATGTTGTCAATCTCAACGTCAGAGTGGTCAGAATTATTCACATGGTGGTCGCGTGGGAGCTGAGCAGCTTGGAAGTAGTGGCCACTTCTATTCTTGCAGCATCCAGAAAAAAGGCAGTAGAGCCAACAGCCAAAATGACCATGGTGTCTGACAAGACCTGTCAACTGGGTTATGCCAATCTGGTTGGCACCGAAAGTGAGAATATATGGGTCAGATGTGAACAGTTTCTGCATTGAACCGTTCAAAATTTGAAGATGCTCCTTCATGAGTGCGGCAAGGTGCCAAAAGCCGGGAAACAAGAATGAGTTAATGTTCTTTGGCTTGTTCAGACCAGAAATAACACCACTGACATAGACATTGTGCTTCTTGTAGCGGGTATCAGAGCTGCAGTCCATCATAACCCAGATATATATCCAAATGTCAGACGTCTTGTTCTGATAAAGCTGTGCTCTGTCAAGTGAGAGCATGAGAACAGTGTTATCGGGGCCAATATCTCTCTGTAGGACAGCTTTAAGATAGTCAGTGCCATGAATGTAGTCCTCAAGTGCTGATACAGAAAACTCAACTGATTCCTTGCCATCCTGCGGCTGCATTTCCTCTATAATCTTGGTGATACAGTGCTGGCGATAGGTCATACCCTTTGCACCAGCAAGAGAGCACCACATCGTTTGAATTGCTGGGCCCATGCAGTTCGTGAGGAACTGCTTGACAGGGATCTTCTTTCCACTGCGCTTAAGTTCAGCCTTGTTATAGCAGCTCCTTGAGCACATCGAACAGAGTTCAAGGTCTTTGAACAGCCCTATGAAGCCAATGCAACTGTTGATGCACATGTTATGGTAGACAGGGAGGATGCCGCTGAGCTCTTCAACGTGGCGCTTCACCATTTCAAATGATAGCATCTCGCACATCGGATCATAGAGTAGAAAAGCATCACAGATTATATTATAGTGGCATTGTGACGCATTCTCAAAGCTGAGGTAAACCTAGATCAAAAGGCAGTCAGCAGGATCTTCAAGCTCCAATAGCTCTTGTGGAGGATGGTGAAAGCATTCTATGACAGCAGGTGGTAAGTCAACTTCGAGAGTAGCATTCTGGAGTGCACTGATAAATTGCTGTGCTGTTTTGATATCTTTGATGCAGTGGTTCATGGAAAGAATAGATTCATCAAGCTCTCGAGGTAGATGCAGTTCATCGTCTTCATCTTCTTCAGCTTGTGAGCCATCGTTGAAGCTCCCATGGTCAGAACGAGCAATCTGGGACACTATTTCAGATGGCCTGGGTGCAGGCTCTCTACTATTCTGCCCAGACTTAGGGACATGTTGGTGGCACAGAAGAGACGTGTTCTTCAGGCTATGTGAAAAGTTGAGCTGGCAGAGTAGAAACATGGTCAAGATCTGGTGTAAGAGAACAGCCTAAATAAGGCTCATCAGGCTAGTAAAAGAGGTACAATGAGCAGTGGTACAGCTGTGCATTGCGGCAGATATGCATACCAGTTCTATGTCCATGCTGACACCTCCTGTTTGCTGACTGCTGTTGCCACTGAAAGAAGCTCGTGTACACTTTGCAAAAGCTGGGCCACCATCTTCAAAGTGCCCAGGCTCCGGGCTGGCATCACGAGGGTGTTTTTCAGTTGTGTTCCCAACCGCAGCAAGGTAGGCCCTTTTTTGTTGGTTCAGAAGAGCCTAGTGCTGGGTATAGATGGATTTTAGCAGCCATATTGGCTGCTTGCACTGAATGCCACATTGACAAAGGAATTTGCAGCATTCTTCTGGATTTAACCACCACATCACACACCAGAGATAGTTTTGTGGGTTAAAGTGATGATATTTGCATGAGAAAAATGTGAAGGTTACAGCAGACAGTGTTGTAGACAGCCTTCTACATGGATGTGTCGAATGAAGTACACAGGCATCTATCCACTTCAAGGCGGCTAAAGTGTTCAAAAATCTGGCAGCAATGGAAAGAAAGACTGTGAAGATAAAATAAAATTGTAAGCGAGCAGAGTAGCGATAGGTACATAATTGAAAGGAAAGAGATGGCGCCAGAAAAGTGCCGAGACAAAGAGGCAAAGAGAGTACCTTTCAGTATTCTCTGTGTCTCTCAGTAGGTCTGGGTCAACCTGGGTAGATGGAATGTTCACTGGGTCTGAGACTAGGGCTTAGCATTTAGATCTTTCAGTATGCATTTGACATATGGTAATGATAGTACTTCTATAGCAACTCGCATGATTTAAGACTTTCATTCAATAAAACTTGTTGTTAGGAATTTACAGGTTGTTGTTACGATTTCTGAATGAAATAAAGAATTGTTCTATTCAGACTGGCACTTTGAGAGCTTTTCAGCACCGTCACAAAACTTCACCCAATGCGTGGGAGACTAGAGTGTATTGACATTACACTAGTTCATCAAACTTAAGTTAGGGTTCATTTCAAAGTTTGAAGTGAAACTTGCCTGATTTTTACAGCCTGCCACATTTGATATAATAATCTGAAATTTGAATTCTAGATACCTTTGGCATATATCTACCTAGAAGTAACCATAAAAATGCAGAAAACTTTTGTGTGCTTGCATGACACTACAATCTTTATAAGTGCTTATTTGGCCAAAGCAAGAGTAGGCTATTTTAGATATGGACACAATTTGCTAGTTGTTATACTAGTGAATAGAGCTCATTGAGGAGATTTTATATATACATGTCTAGTATATATAATGTTTGGGGAGGTGCAGCAGAGGCAAGATAGACTTGTAGACTTGTATAAGTGCCCAATAGATGCTTTGTCAGTGCTTGCTTGCTGCTTACTTCTTGTGCTTGATTATTGAATCTCTAGCTTGTTGTTTGTGATTTTGCATAGATCATAAATGCACAGAACAAATACAAGTACAGAAAATTGAGACAAGCTGGTTACTATGGTACAAAGTGCATATGTGATATTCAGCATATTACTTTAAAATGCAGGTGGCAGATAGTTTGGCCATTTTGTGCTCTAGCTTTTTGGTCTGCTTGACATTGTACCTAAACTTCTCCTTTCAGCTGCTTGCAGTCTTATTGCAGACTGACGTCAACACAACATGAAGAATCACTAGGCAGATCTAACTACTAGGCAGCACAAAGCATGGTCTTGTGATGATTGTGCTGACTTGTTCAGCTAGCCCAATAACCGAGTAATTATTAGTAAATATACTAAATACAAACAAAGGCTTATCTAGCCCAATAACCAAGAGGTTGAGGTAGGGGCTAGGTAGCGATAAAGAGGCTCCTTATATACCATTCAGATCGTGCATAGACCAAGCATTATCTAAGTGACTATAGCTACAGCATCTGCTAGTATCTAGAGGACTCAGCAAGAAAACAGGGCCAATGTGTCATGGCATCTGAGGTTGTCAGGCTGATAGAGATCAAATGTCCATTGCCAATCGAACTTAGAGATAGAAAGTCCAATGAAGATCAGAGCGTGGCTATCACTAAAAATGTGTGATGTGGCATTGTGACAGTGGCAATGTGGGCGCATCTGATGCGCTGATGCATATCCATTGGTGATGCGTTCCCAAGGTGTTTAGTGCGTGGCTAGAACTTGTAAACTGGCGCCAATGCACTGACAACATTTGGAGGGTTGTACAGATATGGAATATATCATAGAAAATCAGAGAAAATGGAAAAATAATAGGAGCCTGGAGCTACGCCCACAACATTACCCCTCCCTATAATCAAGACTCCTGGCAAGAAGACATAGCCTGTATTCTGCCCAATTTCCACTCAAATTCTGCCGCTTTGAAATTGATGGCTAGTGCTGAGCTGAGGTTGGTGTGTTTGTAGATAGACTTGAAGTAACTGTGGAGGTTGCTGAAGGAGGTGGTGGAGATCTGTCATGGTGCCGAGAGATTTTGCCGAAGAAAGTTGCATACACATTCTTTTGTATGGACATTTTTAGTGGGAATTCATTTGTTGGCACCTTGTCTGTATTCTTTCCATTTGACGAGGTACTGGATCTGTCTGCAGTATATGCATAAGTCCAAAATCTTCTCGACTGTATTCTTTCTTGTTGTTCACTACAACTGGTGGAGGAGGTGTGGCTTTATTCATTCCATTGTTGTGGTGCAAGCTGAGCCTGTTGACATAGAAGACAGAGTGGACCTTGAGCTAGTTTGGTAGTTCAAGGTGATAGTCTAATTTATCAATGGTTGTGTTTACTGTGAATGGTCCGAGCTGTTGTGGTCTAAGTTTCATCTGGAAAAACCCAGTTTGTTAATTTAACAGTAATTAGCAGTAATAGGTGCTCTTTCAATATTTATAAGAGATTATTTTGTTCTTGCTTTGTTAGATGAGAGGTAAATAATTAAATGAGTTCAGCTAACACTCTCTATATGTTAGATACAGTAACTGAATCTCATATCAGATAATTTGTTCTCTCTTCATTAGTGCAAAACTTTTAGTTTGTTAAATATATTAATTAGTTCACTGTTTGTTATAAAAATGTTAAAACTGTTATTTCATTCTGTGGGTACTAATTTAAAGTGCTTATTATTCTATTTTTGTTAACTGTACACTAAATCTGCTAAACAGTTTACTATTTATTCAAGTTACATTATATTTGCTAATCTGTTCTCTCAATACTAATCACAAGTTCTTTGTATGTTATTTTTGTGAAAGATACGTTCAATCTGTTAATCAGTTCACTATTTTTTAATGTTACATTATATTTGCTAATCTGTTCTTAGAATGCTATTTATACACTCTTTGTATATTCTTCTTGTTAGCTGTATACTTATTCTGCTAAGCAGTTCACTATTTGTTAATGTTATACCATAAATGTTAATCTGTTCTCAATATGTTAACTGCAAGTTCTGTGTATACTATTCTTATTAGCTACATATTATATATGCTTAATAGATCATTGTTTGTTATTAATATAATCTAATATTAATCTGTTTTTTCAATATTATTATAAGTTCTTTGCA